TCTGGGGGTCGCCCCGTCGGTCTTTCTTCCTCGTGTCCCTGTGAAGCGGGTTGGAAATGCTGAAGGGGAAGTGAACACGCCAGCCGCCCGCGATAGGCGCTAATGATGCAATATTTTTTTACAGCCACTATGCGGATATTGATCCAGAAAATCAAAATTTCTTGCTCGACTCCAATCTTGGAAAGAAGAAATATGAAACTCAGTATGTAAGTAGACAGCAATAACGTTTCAAAAAAAAAAAAGAAAAAAAGAAGAAAAATGCCTTCTTGCCAAATTTGTTTGTTTTAATTCTGAAATAAGTAACAACACTCTATTAATTGTTACCTATCTCCCTTTTCTCAGCATCCGGGTACTACTTCCTTTGGAATGTCAGTATTTAATCTGAGCAATGCTATTGTGGGTAGTGGCATCCTTGGTCTTTCTTATGCCATGGCTAACACTGGAATTGCTCTTTTTGTGTAAGTATCTTTTGGTTCATCAAAAAAAAAAAAATGATCTTTCTGCTGTTTAGTTAATAATGGAAAAATACTGGATGTAAAAATATGACCTTTACAAAATACCCAGTCATTGCTGTAGGTGCAGAATTGTGTCTTAGGATTTGATTTTTAGAATTTGTGGCTTGTTTTAAATAAAGAGTTTGTAATACGTTCTGAAGGACTTGCAAAAATTAAACAGATTTCATTGCAAGTTCTGCAACCCCCAAAACGTTTTAGAGTGACATGTCCTTTGCTTGGCTGTAGTTCCTCCGTGAGTTACTGATAGGCTTCCCTTGAAAATTCCATTAGCCGAGTGGAAAAGAGAGGTGCTGCTTTAAAGACTGAAGTCTGTATGAGCTTTTTCCTTCAGAGTTCACTGATTAACGACAACCAAAACTTTTCAATTAGTCGAAGTCATAACTGCACAAAAAGCACAGGGTCGGGCCGCAGAGAGTTAGAAGAAACATGCAGGCAGATGAGGATGATTTTATTTGTCTCTTGCAAGTCTGGCCGTGTCTACTCTTAAAACAATTTCTGTGGCCCTGTCCTACCGATTAGGGACGTGTTCTCCTTTTCCTCAGCTGACATAGTTGTGCCTGTAGAGGTACGATGTAACTTAGACCAGTAAAGAAATCCTTTTTATTGCTCTGCTTCTGCTCAATTCAGGGAACTGGTTTCAGCTACACCTAGCAAAACTGCTTTCTTGCTGTAAGGGAGGGATGTGGAATAACCAGCATATCTTTATTGGTGTGCCTATGTTGGCAAAAGCTTTCAGATATAAGACAAGACCGTAGCGATGCAAGTGGCAGTGGCATGAGGGGACAGTGACGTACAGTGCTTCTACATGTCTTGGGAAGGCACAGTTTTTGTACACTGGAGGCAGTTCAGGTCACACAACATGCAATACAAGTGACTGATTGCAAATGGGAATCCATGGATATGCTTAAGGGAACTCTGGGGTTTTATCCTGGAAATAGATAAATGTGCTGAAAGTTCGAGAGCAAGTGAAGAGTAACAAATTTTAGTTCAAAAATTTGCCTTACTCTGTTGACAGATTTCCAGAAAGTTGTAGGTCAGGTTTGCTTCCAGATGTTTCCCAGTGTGTCAGGGTGCTGCTCAGGTTTCCTCAGGAAACTACCGATGTGTAAAGTTTTGATCTGAAGGATTTTATTTGAAATATATGGTGACTTGTTAACTTTTTGCTAAGACTTTCACTTACTTAGATGATGCTAAACTAAATGAGCAGCTTTGCATGAATTCGGGAGAGAGAGATACTTCATCTCTAAAGGTGTTCTGCAGCACATCTAAGACAATCAGCGTAATGCACGTTAGAACATCTCCAGGTGAGGAAAGAAAGAATTTAAGGTTAGATATTTGAACAGGTTTGCATATAATGAGGGTCCTCTGTCCATTTAACAATTGGGTGCTGAAGTCGTTTAGTTACCTTTCATTTCCAGATGCTGCATTCAGAGCTAGTTGGGTTAGTACTGATTCAAAGATAAACTAGCTTATTACCTTTCAAAACTTACTGTAGTTTGTGTGATTCCGAGGCAGGAAAGCAGTTAGCCCCTGATGAGACTGAGGGCATTACAAATATCCTTTAATAACTAGGTTACAGATTCAGATCCAGATGCAGCTGATGGAGGTGGTGAATTCTTTGAAGAATGTGTGGAGTCACTTGTGTCAGTGCTGTGACTTTTCACTTGTGTCAGCCCTAAATAAATGAGTGATACGGTCTGGAAGCCAGAAACTGAGTGAGCTTCGAGATGAGTTTGCTGGCTGGTCTTGTCAGCACCGTAGGCAGCCATTCGAGGTTAGGACCGAGGAGTCCAGGACCTGCGCTGTTTTAACGAAACTTAACCCTTGCGCATCTCGCTGTGCTGTTTCTAGTTGATGGCTGAATTAAATCCTGGTTCATCTCTTACCTGTCAGAAACACAAGAGGTTTATTTGTGTGCGTGTGTTGGTGTTGAATTGGCACAGTAAGGCAAGCTCCCTGGATTCCTTGTGCAGATCTGTGAAGCTTTTCTCAGATGTTCTTGTTGGCAGTTCTTTGTGCTGTGTTGACTAGTTTCACCGACATTAAAAATGACACAAAAGGAAATGTAAACTATTCTGGGAACTCTTAAGTGGAGCTTGGCGTTTTTGAGCAGATGTGCTGATTCTTAGCTTTCCTACAAAGCAGAACGCTTGTATTGATATATGAAAGGCCAGAGTTTTTTTTTTGAATGTATTGTAATTTTCCACTGTTCTTCAGCAGCTGAGAAGTCCCCCCTAGCGTGCTACTCCAGGAAGTGCATTTGTTGTGGGAGAGATTTGTTGTTGAGATCTCCGACGTTGCAAATGTGCTTCTGGAAATAACGTATCTTGCGTGTAAAAGCTGTGGGGAAGATAAACAAGCCACTAGCGATTCCCATGTAAGCACACATGAAGGGTAACTTTTGAGCAAAGGTTGTTTAGTTTTTTTTTATGACAAAAGATGTATTTCCATTTTGAAGACACAGCTCTCAATACATATGAATTTTCAGTCAGCTCTTTAAGGCTTTTGCATTTTCATCCTTACATAAAAAAGGCATAACACGGGTTTAAGCTGAAAAGCTGATTTGTTTAAGACCAAGAGATAATCTTCACTTCAGCTACAGTTAGTCACAACTCGTTGTTCAATAGATCCATGTCACACTGTTGACCAAGGATAGGGAGACAGGAGAAATACAGTTTCTCACAGTAATACAAAACCATTTCCAGTGATACTTTATTTATATCAAATGTGGCCAGTTATAATGGCCTGACATTGCCAGTGCTGATGCCACCTTATGTTGAATATGGGCATTGTTTAATCCTACGCTAGAATTTCTCTCTATGCCAGTGAAATGCATTTTAATATAAAAGCCTTTCTAAGCTAGGCATTAATTGGGTTTTCAGAATGCTTTTAGCTGGCCTTAGAATCTACAGGTTTTTCCCAGATAGTGTTTTAGTATGATTCATATTTGCATTTGATCTGCTTTTATTTAATAAGGTTACAGTAAGTCACTTATGGCTATTAAAAATTTGCATGTTTTTCCTCCTCCCCCCCCCCCCAGGATACTCCTGCTGTTTGTCTCAGTATTTTCGCTGTATTCGGTGCATCTCCTTTTGAAGACTGCCAACGAAGGAGGTACAGCAAATTACTATTTTACAGACATACGGTATTTGTTTCATGTGATGTCTTTGTGAAACACACCCTTCCAATGGGTTATTTCATTTTCTTATAGGATCTTTATTGTATGAACAGTTGGGAATGAAGGCATTTGGTATGGCTGGAAAACTTGCTGCTTCTGGATCCATCACAATGCAGAACATCGGAGGTGAGGACGAGATCTTAAAATACCTATACTGTCCATAGTAATTGTTCCCTACTTATTGTTGGAGACTTTTTTTTTTTTTTCACACAACATGTATTCATTAACTGCTTGTGTTCAAGTGAAGTTATGAAACATGTTATGTGATTCTTGCATCTTGTGGCATATTCTATATTTGTAATGATCTATGATGTTATTCACCTACAGCTATGTCAAGCTACCTCTTCATAGTGAAATATGAGTTACCATTGGTCATCAAGACATTTTTGAGCATCGAAGAGACCACAGGGTAGGTGTTAGAACTCCTCATCAGAGAAACTATTAGGAGAAACAAATACGGAGACTGTACCTATTTTTATATGAAGACCACGTTCGGTACACCGTAGGGTAGCTTCTTACTCAGACAGAGATACAGTAAGTTTGCCCTTCCCCTGAATGCTGCACTTCATTTAGATCCAGCCTGTCCTGGGAAAAGGGTAGAAAAATACAGGTATTGCATCATATTACAGAAAGCTGTTCTCTAAAGAACATCAGGTAAGTGTTAATGTGTGTACCAGTCAGTACATAACTCTCGATAAGGAAAGGTAAATGTGGTTATCGTGGTGGTTTTTGGTAGTTTTTTTGGTTTTGTTTTTTTTTTTTTTTTCCTTACTGTATTCCAACTCGTTTGGACTGATTTTTTTGGTTTTCTAGTGTTAATACTGTGGGAAGTGATTAAATGTAAGACTAAGTGGCACCTTATTCATTATGTAATGAATGTCTTAAGGAACAGTTCTCAAAAAGACACGGGGATTAAATGTTGAACTAAAACAGAGTTTACATGCCCAAGACTAAAACGTTAGCCACGTTGCCATTTAGCCCTGGAGACACCTTGACTCCATAGCGGCTTTCCTACTTGGCTTTAAAATTGGGTGCATTGGGTAGGGTTCCTGTTATCTAACCATACCATCTGAAAGTTAGGTTTTGAGCTCATCATTATTCTGGTCTTTGTATAATCAGTGGAGGAAGGTGATACTCTCTAGCGGTCAGTTCAGTGCGCCTGGCTTAGATGCCTGTTTTGGGCATCTCCAGAGCGCCGATATATCACTCTATTTTGAGAGGGTGTGTAAAAACAGCTATCTAAAACAAGATGCCTGACTTCAGATGGATAGAGTTAAGTGCTATAAATCTCACTCTTCAGAGTTGTACTTCTGTGCCTTGTCCTGAAGTGTCCCAGTCTTGAGAGGGCTGAGCAGCTCAAGACTCCAACTTACACCTAAGCCTGAGTTCAGAAGGTAGGCATTTTTCTGCCTGTGTTCCCCAAGGGGTTCAAGCCATTTGGTGGTGTTCATACAGCTTGCTGATAGATATTGTCATGACAACAGTGCTAGTGATTTTTTTTTTTTTTTTTTTTTTTTTCCCCCTTCTCTTTTAATGTACTTAAAGAATGCACCCACCCTATGTACTTAATAGTGTAATGTTTACAAATTCTGTCCTGGAAAGGTTCATTTCCCTCCTTCAGCTGAATTCAAGTCCTTATTTTCCACTTCTTAAGAAAGTCCCTGGAGTAGCCAGTACTGATGAGGGGGCTTGGAGGCAAGTATTTTTAACTGTCCCATCTTCAGAGAAGAGTTCACAATCTGTTGCTGTTCAAGAGGGAAAGTTAAAAGCTGTGAATGTCACTGGATACAGCTGCTGCTCTGCAGAGCTGGTGGACAAAATTCAGGAACCCAGATTTGTATCTTCAGTGTTTTCTTGTTGGCTGGTAGTAGGTAGCTGTACGCTGATGTAAAGTAAATCTTTTCTCAGTGCTCTGGCAGTTATGGACCCCATTTAACTGACTCTCTCCGTGCATTGCTTAGGGGAGTCTGGGTGGCTACCATTGGCATGGATTCCACTCTGGCAGCCTGGTGCCTAAAATGTAAGCACTTACCTGTTTAAATGTCCCAAAATAATGCTTACTGTAGAAGAAATATTCTGGAATTCTGAGACAATATTACAAATACTAGCTTTATTATTAAAATTTGTTTAGCAATTTTTGAAATCGGCTGTATTTTAAAGCTGTGCGATGCCATTCTTTACTCTTCAGCACAGAAGAACTTCTAAGTCCTTGGTCTGGAAGTCAGGATGCCCTTCACGTGGTGCATCCACCATAACAGCGCACGTTCTTATGACTGTATCAAATGCAAGGAATCTCTGTGCTGTGGTTGCTTTTAAATTTACCACAAGACTACTACTTTTTTTAAAAAGGGAACAAAGGTATATGACATTAACATCCTATACATCTGAACTTTCTAAAATACTTTTTTTTATATTCAGTTGTCCCACATGAAACTGGAGAAAGAGATGACCAAATTGTTTCTGCATTTACTGCATAAATCCAGAGCAAGTCTGTTAAAGTTATTCTGTATTTTCACCAGCATATATAGGCTTATAATTCAGTAATTGAGCTTGAATGCACAAATTTCCAATTGGGTCATTAATTTTTCTTTGTTTACCTAAATAGTAGACAGTCCATTTTAAAATGACTACTGTTAGCTGATACCGTAACAGGATATAAAGTATTAATATTTGGGAATAAAATGCTTAGTGTTACTTGAATTGCTGAAAGCATATACGATGTTCCTGTAGGACAGAAGAAGAAAGCAGTTACCCTGCCACGATTAAATACTCAATATTAAGTTTTTCTATTAGTTCAGTGAAATTGCATTATGTTTACACAGATATTTGTTTTTCTGTGTTTCAAAGGAAGATGTTAATCTTCTAACACTCAAAAATGTTTTGTCAAAAAATAGCTGCTGCTTCCTATGGAATAAATGACCAAAATTATCTGAAAGAAAAAATCTTCTGAGGTTCTTACCATAGTTTCCCTACTGAAGGGGACTAAACATGCCTCCAAGAGACTCCCAGCGCTTGTTGGAGTTTTCTCAGCCAGTGGGCTTGAGCTACTACTGCCTTGACTCCAGCCCTTGCCTGTTTTTCTTTAACTCCTGCAGGGTACCCAACAGAATTTTATTTCCACTAGAAGTGGATCACCACCCTGCTGGGGTCCAGCAATATTCTAATACATCTGGAGAGTTGGGAACCAACATTAAAGCAAATTACTATTTTTTTGCAACTGATCCCAGTTGACTTCTTTTCTGACCAGTCATTTACTCTCCTGTCTTCTGATTTTCAGATGCATATTAATTTTAGAAAAGGACACTAAAGGAAAGGCACAATGCAGGTTTGGGGTGAGATAAGAAGGTATTGTAGGGCTTTAGGTCCATATAGTAAGTTGAATGCTAGCCCTTTGTGAGATCAGGTACTACATTTTTTTAAGTAGCCATATGTTGTAGGAGAAGATAAGAGTGAAGACTAAACTGCAAATGTCATTTTTAAATACTTTGATTACTTACAAATACTATCTTTTTCTACAGAGAATGGTACCTTAACGGTGACTATTTAGTGGTGCTGGTGTCTGTCATCCTCATTCTTCCCCTGTCCTTGCTGAAAAATTTAGGTAAGCAGTAGAGTACACTCAGGAAAAAAAAATGCATTGAAAATACTGTGGGGAAATGATTTGATGCGGTTTGATTCTTGAAGTACTGTGTGAATTAACAGCTGTCTCCACACTTGCCTCTTAGGGGCTAATCAGTGTTCAGGTAACTGTGGTCAGTCTACTTAGAAAAAAAGAGGGGGGTGGGGGGGGGAAAGTCAAGTATCTTAAGTTACAGATGTGTTTGTGGAAAACGAAAGGACAACAGATAAAGGTAGCTTTAGAACAAGGCTCAACAGTAACTTTGTGTTCTCATCACGAAGTTTGACCTGTTTTGGTCAGTAGTGAAATAGTGTAGTATTGTTACTGGCTATCCTATAACAGTCTTGAAAGAATAGGGATGCTACCCCTGGACAAGTTAAATTGTCTTTGCAACGTAAATAGAAGTCACCTTTTTCATTTTAGTTCCCAAGCAGTAGCAGAATACTCATACCAGATGCTTCATCTGAAGTGGCTGTGATTCGGTGATATATGTGAATAATTCAGTTAATGCACTTATTTGTTCAGAGAATCCTGTAGTGGAACCTTACTAACTGAGAGTCTCAATGTGAATTACTTTCTCATGTTACTACTTCCTTCAAATGAAGTGAATCAATAAAAACAGAAGGGAAAAGGCTAAATTATCTCATAGTGCATTTTTACTAGAATTAATCCTATAATCTTTCTTAGGATATAATAAACAGTTCACATAGTTGTTGGTGTAGGATTTTTGTTGTGAGGTTTTTGTAAGTTATAAAATTTAATACTACAGACTCACTGTGTGCACAGACCCTGATCTGTCTTTGAGAACTTTCAGATCTGAGTTGAGGTTAGCGAAAAGTCAATAAATAATTAACTTCTATGTAACACTAAGAAAATGGCAATCTAAAGAGATAACTGACAGAATACATTTTGTCATAAAGTTACTACTTGAATAGTGTTTCTGTTTATTGTACCTTAGATTTATTTTTTTTTTTTTAATCTTTCTTGAACACAGGATATTTGGGCTATACCAGCGGCTTTTCCTTACTTTGCATGGTCTTCTTTCTGATCGTTGTAAGTATGATCTTGCAGACTTTCAGTGCTTGTAAAACAGCATTTCAAAGAGAAATTAAGCACAGTTTCTGAAAAGTTTTACGTACTGCATTAGTCAAGTAACAATAAATGCATGGCTTTTTTTCTAGGTAATTTGGAAGATGTTTCAGATTCCTTGTCCTGCGGAGAGTGACATCATAAACATTACATTAGTAAATGTGACAGCGGCACCTTTCTTAAATAAAAACATAACAAGTGATGATTTGTGCAAGCCAAAATATTTCATCTTCAATTCCCAGGTAACTGACTAAAAATCAGACTCTCTGTGGAAAATAACTGAGAGACTAAATACATACCAGATAAATTAGATCATTTTTCCTTCAAGTAATTACCCAGCTGTAACCTTGGGCTGTGCTAAGACTTTCTGTTCCAGTAGAGTTAGGCACTGTTTACCTCCTGTAGACTGGGTGTTTCCACACTCCAAATACACAGAAATTAGAGGAGATTGAGGTGCCTGCCTGAGATGAGTGGCAATAAACGCATCTCATTCTCCAGCATAGCATTTCTCAAGCTTTCTCAAGTAAATTAGTGAAGCATTTTAAAAACTAGATTGCAGAAGAAGATGGAAGTAAATAGTAAAAGCATGTGAATGGGAAATGTATGCCAGGGTTTGGGATAGACTAAGTTCCTGTTCACAGAGTCTTGACTCTCATGAATGCTCCTAATTACAGTGATGAGTCCCCACACATGGGGAAGAAGGGTAATAGCCATTACCAAGATCAGGCTGTAATGGCTTAAGCCTATGAGATGTGGAACATAATTCTGAATGTGTGGTACCTCAAGGTCTGGATTTAAGAAAATATGAACCTATTGGTTTAGTTTTTGCCAGAGTTTCAGTTGTAAAGAACCTGGTCTTCATCAAAAACTAAACTGATGCCCAAGTCAAACTGAAAAATCTACTGATTTTTTTTTTAAAACTAAATTTCTAACATCTGTTGAGATACTTAAGAAAGATCCTTTTGTTTTTCAGACTGTCTATGCTATCCCAATCCTAACATTTTCTTTTGTCTGCCATCCTGCAATTCTTCCTATCTATGAAGAACTGAAAAGGTAAATGCTAGCGATGTGTCTGTAATTTCACTAAACAAACAAAAGTAGTATAAAAACAGTATGTTCTCATTTCTAACAATGTTTCTTTTTCTTACAGCCGAAGCCGTAAAAGAATGATGAATGTGTCCTATGTATCTTTTTTTGCCATGTTTCTCATGTATTTATTGGCGGCTCTCTTTGGATACCTGACATTTTATGGTGAATATTGCCTTCTTCTCTGCTTTCTTTTAAATGAATTACATTCTGCAAAACCACAGTATTATTTTTAAGTTAGAGCAAGCAAGCATTTACTGTGGGTTCTAAATATACACTGTTTGTTGGGGGTTTGTTTTAATACTTCTATAAGTGCACTCCTAAAAGGAGATCACTAGTAGAATTAGGCCCAAGGCACAGGATTAAAATTGGATTAAAACAGACACAGTGCCTTCAAGTTATGCCTGTGGAAAATGGAGACATGCTTAAGGAGCTGATGAGGCTTTCAATTCGTATTGCTGTAACTGTAAAATTCGCTTAGGGTTTAGAGCAGAAGTGGTTGTTTGAGAAGTGTGTCAACCACATCTACTGTTTTTCTTTATAGGAAGAGTCGAACCAGAACTGCTTCATACCTACTCTACTTATCTGGGTTCTGATGTTCTTCTTCTTACTGTGCGTCTCGCTGTACTTATGGCTGTAACCCTGACTGTACCTGTAGTTATTTTCCCAGTAAGTAACTAATTTTTTTAGTCTTACTACCATTTTTTTATTTTCATCACCCGCTGCTGCCGTCATTTACTGATTTGGCAACTCCTATTTATAGAATTTTTCTCTTGCCCAGAAAAGGAAATTTGTTCTAATAAACTTGATTAAATATGTCTATACTGTTAATTCAAATAAATAATTGGGGAACATTCACAAAGCAGTAGATACAAATACATTCAATTACGTTGTTTTCCTGATATGTTTTTAACTGGGGGAGTGGAGCAGACTGCCCCTTTGTAAAAATACTTGTGCTATTGTATTATCAGCTTACTAAAGTCAGTGTGGTTTTGTAATCACGTTGTGAATGTGAATTCTGGCCGTTTAGATGTGTATTGTTGAGCAGCATCCTTGGATGTCACAAAAATTAATTTTTGTTAAAGACAGATGTTTTTTCATTGTTTTCTCCATTACTGGCTGTGCTTTGAAAATCTAAATCACTGAAAAGAGAAACAGACCAGAAGCACAGAGCTGCCGCTCAGATGCAAGAAGTAAATATTTTGCGGGGGGGGCAACTACTTTCATGTCTTTCATCTTCTATTAAAATCTGAAGTGTCCAGGAAAATGATCTTAAAATACAGAAGGAAGGTCTCATTCAGGTGACAGTCACTGACTTCTACGATGAAGACTAAACTGTCTTGTTTGCTTTTTTTTCCCTCTTCAAAAGATCCGCAGTTCCATTACCCAGCTGTTGTGGGCAGGGAAGGAGTTCAGATGGTGGCGTCACTGTTCCATTACAGGTGCTCTTCTGGTGTTTACCAACGTGCTTGTTATCTTTGTCCCTACTATCCGAGACATCTTTGGATTCATTGGTAAGCATTTTCACATCAGTTCAAGTAGTCTTTCAGATCTCGGAAAATGCCCTTCCGATCTAATTAAATTATATTTATCTGTTTATGAATATTTATTTCTATGCTTTTTAAATGCAGGTGCATCTGCGGCTGCCATGCTGATCTTTATACTTCCTTCTGCCTTCTATATCAAATTAGTGAAGAAGGAACCAATGAAGTCAGTGCAAAAGATTGGGGTATGTATAGACAAATACATAATAGTTACACTTGCTTACTAATGCAGAGCAAGAACTTCAGTTTCCTGCTTTACAACTTAAGAATTTTGAAGTCCCGCTGAAGGTAGTCAGTGAATTGGCATTTAATGTTATCTTAGTTGCATAGGTCCTCAGAACTGAGGAGAGAGCCATCACAAGGCTCAGTTCACTTCAGTGACTTTTCCTACCCCCCAGTCTCAACAACAGTTGGGACATTCTGTTGCTGATAAGAACCAGGTGTCAACAGATTACCCTTAAGATCTATACTAAAAATGTCTTGCTGTTCTCCTTTAAATTTTCTTTCAAGACTTATTTACGTGATTTCCCCCTTAAAGCTGACCTCCACCCGTCGTTTGGGTCATCCTGGCTGATCTTGGTGCTCTTGCTGGTCTTAGGCATACTGACTCAGAATCAAATCTTAGACATACTGAGTCAGAATCAAGTTGGCGTAGCCTGACTGGTATCAGCAGCTACATTATTTTTCCTCAGTTGAGGTTGAGGCCAGCTGTACTGAAAATAAATGTGTTTTTTTTTTTATTTGAAAAAAGACCCCCAAGTATGAGAAAGATATGTAGTTCCTTATTGTTTACTGTGTTCTTATCTGTTTTAATTTGTTCTCCATGAGCAATAGCATTTGTGCCAGAAATGGGTATGACTTTATGGGTATAGTAGCAGAAACTGAAATCCTTCTTTTATGTTTTCTTTTTTCAGGCTGCATTCTTCTTTCTAAGTGGTGTACTTGTGATGACTGGGTGTATGACACTGATTATTCTAGACTGGACCCACAATGTTGCATCTGATGGCCATTAACTGTCCTGATTTAATCTCTAATACTCCACTTCAAATGCCAGTGTTCACTCAGATACCTACTGAGAATGAAAATGAGCTATTCGGCTTCCTTTAAAATGCAGATTCTTTGTTGATGGTTCTTCCGATTGTAGAATACCTGAACTCTGTCTTTAAGAAACTATTCTGCATGATGGAAGTGGATATTGACATCAAACCACCTGAGTGTCTGGCTGAAGGAAGTGACAACTTTATTCCATTCCAGAGAATGGACAGAACTCTCTGTAGACTTTTATCAAGCCATGTTTGGCTTTCGTCATTGTTACTTGGATATTTTGTTACTTTACTTGAATGTGCCTAATGGAACCAACTGATGTGAGAAATGACTCTTTAATTTACAGCAAAGTGTTTAAATAGCCAATGAGAGAGAGAGAAACGCTATTATTTTTTGTACCAAAAAATTCTTATGGACCTCAAAAGCACTATTTTGACTTTGAGAAACATTTTTCTAAAAAGAACGAAAGAATGGTGTAGAAGAGCTCATTAAAAAAAAAAAAAAAAATTTGATCAGTGTCCTAAATTAAATCAAGTTTGCCTTTCTGTAGAGGCATAATTAGAAGAAATCTTATTTTAGAAAATAATTCTAATGACCAAAATTAAAAATGAACCAATTCAAGTAAAAATTCTCCAATCATAGGTGCTTCCCATGAATTTCACTTCATTCAAAGCAGAGTGAACATAATCCTGAAAAATCATTCGTCAGCTTACTTAAGTAACCACGGTTACCTTAGTTCCCCAAAATTATGTGGAAGCCCAAATTTTCAAGCTTTAAAAAACCCCACCCTTTAAGAATGGGTACTTTTGAGAAAAACGTAGCTAATCTAGAAATTGTAAAGATGGTGTTGACGTTTCCCTTCTTGAGGTACTCAATAGTGCAATTGGGTAAAACAGGGTTTGGGGGTTTTTTGCTTTTTTCTGTGGGTGGTTTTTTTTCCTGTTGTAGATGCAAACAGAATGGCATTAGAGCATTAATGTAAAACTCCATCCTGGAGTTGCATCTATTAATAAGGTCATGTTGTCAGTCATAGCAATGTTGGGATTTTTTCTGTCTGATCTATCTTGAAACACTCTGTAGGAAAACAAAAAGGTCTTAATGTAGTTTACTAGTTGTATAATATTCAGAAAGTGTACAGTATTTCTCAAATTACTCATCCATTATTGGATTTTGAATTACTTGACTATTCAGTTTCTGAGTCAAATCCGCAAAATAACTGCACCAGTATTTCGTGCTTGGTACAAACTCTCTTCACATACGCAACTGGGATTCCTCTTCCAATTTATACTGTATAGTAGTGTTAAAGGTAACCTCATAGACTGGATAGTCATCTCATACTTGTTAGCTTCAGAAATAGGTAAGTTTCTTATGAGCCCTAGCTAACTAGCTGATGAAACAGGTGCTGTATGGTTGTGACTAGCTGTTTTGTTTCTAGTGCATGTTTACTCTTTCATTCTTATCCCAGGTTGAAGAGAAATAACACTTGTGTAACAGCATACTTGGCTTATAAGAGGTTCTCAAACACAATATTGGGTACAAAAGCCTAGATAGAGATTATTGATGAAATAATCATGGCAGTGTGGTCAGCTGTCTTCATCTGACATGACGCTTCAAAAATCCAATCTACAAAGTTGCGCTGGGTCGTTGTGTCAGAGGGAACAAGTAAGGGCCTGTAATCCATTGATTAGACTGTGCCCGAGACATTTTTGCTCTAGCAGAATTGATCAGGAACAAATCTAAATGATCGTCACTGTTTGGCAGATAACATCGATCTCTGCCCAGCCTTTTAAAATCTATGAAAACAAATGGCAGGTATTTTGTATTGATGCTTCTGCATGACTGTAAGTACTGGTCACGAACTCTGTAGTGTAAAACTGTACTGAGAAGTTAGATTCCTCTTGTGTTTGTGTTACTAGTTCAGTGGTACTCAACTGGCAATTAACGATCCCGGAATCAGCACTGGCCAATGCTCCTTAGGTACTTCTCTGCCTCAGGTACTGTACATCCACGGCTAACTATCCTCCGTTACCTGATCTCCACGGAAGTGCTGAGCGTGTGCCGCCTCAGTACTTTGGCAGCTTTTCTTCTCCCTCTCCGCAAACATAGAAAGGTTGGAAGAGGATTAAAATGTTGTCTGCCTCTGAGCAATTTGTAGCACATAGGGGATGAAGTGCTTCCCTTGCCAGCATTCAAAAAAAAAAAAAAAAAAAAAGAAAAACTGAAGCAAGTGAGAAATACCCTGCTTTCTCTCAGTAACCACAGAAGAGGAAGGAGGTGTAAATGAGAAGTTGCTACGCGGTCCTTCTGAGCAGCCAGAGAGGAAGAAGATTTTTGTGACGACACCTCATAAGATATCATACATGTAACTTAATTCTCTGAATGTAGCAATTTCCAGATTTTAGACTATGTGTTACATTATTTGATGACTGGCTTTTCACCTGCAGTAGTTGAGTTCCACTTGGCTGGGTTGATTTCCAATGCCTGATTTATTTAATTACATGATTTTTTTTTTTTTTTTCCCAAGCCTGTCTGCTTAAAAGTTACCTACATTACAAACCACCTGAAAGAGCAGCTTCAGTATTAAACCACTGTTTTGTCACCTCAGTTAGACATTACTGTCTTCCATGATATTTCAGTCATAAATGTAACATGTTATTTATAAAACATTAATCCATTGAAACTAAACCTATTTTTCAGTATTTATGATAGTCTATGTACATAAGTGTATGTGTGTATATACTGTAAGTATAATGTATATAGTGTAGCTTTGGAAACCGGGATTTATGTATATATTCCTCTCTCATTACTGATTATTACATCATTTCAAGGAGTTGTTCATGTTGTACATCTCTATAACAACTGTCAAAGGAAGGACTCTTTTACAGCAAAATGTAATGCCTACAAAGATGGAAGAAATGTGCTCCCCCTAAAGTGTGTAAGAAAACAAAGATTGTATTTATTACAAATGTATATGTTACAATAAACACAGGAGTCACTTGGGTCCATAAAAAGCATTGTTCAGGTTCATGTATACTTTTTCTCTAGAATATACCATGGGTGTTAAGATTTCCTGAATGCAGCAGCTTAACAACTTCTATGGTCTAGCGTACTTGTTAGGCCACCAAATTCAGGCATCCTGCGGTACCTCTGTGTACAAATGTAAATAGCCACTGTATTGTTAGAGGCCAACAGCCTGGCTACAGTTGTTGGCAGCAGAGTGCAACACAGTTTCAATGAAACATTGTATGTTTGTTTTAACTGAAATAAATAAATAATCCGAAGAAATCTT